ACATGGTCATCCCTGCCCCAGGTGGCCAGACCCTCTCACAGGGACCTCTACCTGGGGTCTCCGCGTCTGCGGCTCCTGACGAATTCAGGCAGCTCTCCAGATCGTCACTACCAAGCAAACCGCCAAGAACGCTCTGCCATTGCAGCGGAGGGCCCCATCATAAAATCGAGTTGCCAGGGCCAGTGGGTGGCATGGTGATTAAGGGTGCTGGACTCCCACATGGCCGACCATGGTTTGAGTCCTGGATCTGGTGGCTTGTTTGTTTTCTCTCTCTCTCATTCTCCCTCTCTGGTCTAATTAAAATAAACAAAGATAAGTAAAATAATTATTTTTTAAAAAATCGAGCTGCCACGGGTCGGACATGGTGCCACACCACTTTCAGAGAGACTTGGATTAGAAATTGGTTTCCAAGGTCTTGAGGTTCCATTGTCCAATAGCATTTCAATAAAATTATTTTTTTTTAATAAAAGAATGACATATTTTTTAAAAAGAATTGTTTGTTTCATTTCATTTATTCATTCATTCATTCATTTAAATTTGACCAGAGAGAGAGAGAGAGAAAGAGAGGGAAAGTGAGAAAGCAAGCCACCAGGTCTGGAACTTGAATCGTGGTTGGCCATATGGGAATGTCCAGTGCTTTAACCACCATGCCACCTGCTGGCCCCTAAAATTAATTTGACCAATTCTTTGTCAAGGAGAAAAAAATGAACACCATAATTTTGCCACAGAATTTTAAAAAGACTCCTGTAAGAATTGATGAGCAGGGGGTGTGGAGGTTAAGGCAGTGGGATCCCACATGGCCAACTCCACGGTTTGAGTCCTCTACCTGGGGACTTGAGAATCGAGCCGGGCGCATGTATATATGTGCCCAGAATCCTGAAAGGAGAACAGAGGGGACTTCCTCTCCCTCTCTCTCTGTCAAGCACATATGCCCTGTAGCAAATTTAAAAAGGAGAAGAAGAAATCACGCAAGGGTCGTATCTTAGAGTAAAGTTCACTAGACAGGCTGAGTTTCTTCTTTTAAGAATTATTTATTTAATCTATTATTATTATTTAATTTGCTATAGGGCACAAGTGTTCACCAGCAAGAGAGAGAAAGAAAAAGCCAGGTCCCAGACTTGAACTGCTGTCAGCCATGGGGAGCTCAGCATCTCAGCCACTACACACCTGCTGGCCCTCCTCCCAGTGCTGTCTCTGCAGGAGGAACCGAATCGTCCTCTGGGGTCTCTGGGGCCCTCTCAGCTCCAGCACTCCGGCACCACTGCCGTGTCACGGGCACCCCAAGGGGTGACACCTGCTGGTGCCTAGTCCCTCAGTGTGGGCTCCTCGAGGGCAGGGTCCACCCACGCCCGCCTGCCAGTGAGGGCAGTGACACGCCTGCCACAGAGAAGTGGTGCCCTCGGATGGGGCTCCCCGCGCAGGCAGGTGCTGGAACAGCCACCCACTTGCTTCCTCCATCACAGGAGGCAGGAGCCGGCACCCGGCACCACGGGAGGGACACGGACCCCAGACCCTCCCCGAGCTGCCCTGGAAACCCGTAACAACCAGCCCTGCAGTCCTGAGCCCCGTCCCTCTTCCCTCCGGCAGCTCTGTGCCAGGACAGCTTGGACGTGGCCCCATGACCGCTCACCTTCAGGAAAGTGAAGACCTGCTGCTCCCTCTCTCCGTTCACATCCCCTTTCTCAAACAGCTGGAAATTGGGGACAAAGCCTCCCCCTGGGCGGACGTACCTGCAGAGAGCCACGATGTCCTCAGGGTGTGAAAGAAGGTGAGCACGGGACTCGGGCCATCCCGAGTCCTGCCGCATCATCTCCCGCCTCATCCCACCATCCCCACAAGTCCCAGCCGGGGTCGAGTCTTGGGCAGTGCCAGCCTCCCTCAGGGCAGGCCCAAGGTAGAATCGACCTGCAGTGCCCTGAGCCTGTCAACTCACCGCCTGCCGGGAAGTGGCTAGCTGAAGGGGCTCCTGTGAGGTTTGGGTCGCTCACCTGAGCCCAGGAAGGATCTCAGAGTTCTCGCCGGGTTCTTGCTTTCCAAATTGGTTGCAGGGAAAGCCCAGCACCACCAGGCTCAGGGCCTTCAGCTCCTCCTGCAGCGCGTTCAGCTCTGTGGGCAGAGAGGGAGATGTCTCGCCCGCAGAGACCCCGCCAGAGCAGAGACCCTGGGGACACTGCTCTGCAGAGAGGGAGGCAGAGGCCCAGGACAGGATCCTAGAATGGGAGAGGGCTAGTGGCATCCTGATGTCAGGGCTGGACGGTGGACAGTGTCCCGGGTGCAGTCAGCAAGACCCTCTCCTTAGGAGTTGACCAGAACCGCCATCTTATCTCAGCGGGGGTTTTAAACAAAGCTGGATCTGCGCATCGCCACTCACCCTCAGCTTCCCTGGTGCTTTAATTGGCAGACTGGGTCTTTCTCCTTAATTTTTTTTTATAGAATTATTTGTCTAATTTTATTTATCATTGTTACTATCATTTTAAAGCTTTATTTATTTTAACTTGAGAGAGAGTGAGTGGAGGGTTGGGGAAGTGAGAAAGCAAGTTGCCAGGTCTGGGAGTTGAACCATGGTCTTCCATGTGGGAATCCAGCGCCCCTAACCACCATGCCACCTGCCAGCCCCTATTTTTTTTTTTTAATTTATGCAGACAAAGAGGACTGGACGAGCCTCCCACACACACACACTGGTGGGCTCTCCAGCAGTGGGGTGAGTAAACCGCATGGGCAAAGGGATGCAGAGAACGTCATTCCAGCACCCCATGTTCGAGCCCTGGGTGGTCAAGACACAGTCTCCCTAAAATCCTGAGCCTCTGGGCGAACACAACCTCGCCTGCCCCTCACTGCCAGGAGCTCTTCCCACTTGGGGTCAGCACCTGCTCTTTGCCCTTTTAGAGAAAACAGCCTTTGCTTTCCTGTTTTCACACGCCCCTTCGGAGCCTCTGCCCACATCCCTCCTTCCTTCCTCTGGGAGAGGAGGAACCAGGAGCCGACCGCCAGTGCTCGGCGCCTCCGACCTGCAGAGGGGACTGAAGGACTTGACGTTTGAAGTCCCTAGAGCTCATAAAAGGATCTACGGTCCAGGGACCACTCAGTCCTCGAAAGAAAGAGGACTGGGAAACCAGCAGTTAGCGTAATGGCTATGTTGCTGGACTCCCACGTAGTCGAACGCAGTTCGCATCCCGGACCCGGTGGCTTCAACTCACGCCGGGCACATGTGTGTGCGTGCCCAAGATCCCGAAAGGAGAATGGAGGAGAAGGGATTGTGGTGTGACCATCCCCCCTGGGGGGTGATTTCTTGCTTTCTGTCTCTCTGTCTCTCTCTGGCTGGTGAAAAAAAGCCTCTCCAAAAATGAAAAAGAAAGAGGACTGAACACGAGGGTGTCTGTGTTAGTCGGGGCAGGCTGGGTGGGGGAATCCAAGCACACACCAGTGTCTGACGGGAGGAGGGCTCTCCGCATCCCAGCCTGGTTTACTCTCAACGCCGCCCCGTGACCACGCTGCCTACCTAAAACCTGGCTCCCAGCATACATACATATCACAGTCCACATGTGTACACACATACATACCACCCATGTGTGAGTGTGTACACATAACAGCTCACATGTGCACATGTACACATAGCAGCCCATGTGTGGACACATATATATAATGGGCCACGTGTGCACGTGTCTACACATGTGCATATACATAACAGCCCATGTGCTCACACGTACACGTAATGGCCCACATGTGAGTGTGTACAAGCAGCAGCCATCCATGTGTGAACTCGGCCATCCGAGGGCAGACCCAGCAGCAGTCGTCCAGGCTCCGTGGGCAGTGTGACCTGTGCTGCCCATCCCCGCCTGAGCCCTGCCGTGGCCTGTCTCCGTGGATGAGACTGATGGTGTGGGCTCCAGGAGACCTGGTACCACCCAGGCTGGCTGTGTGTGAACTGGAACGTGAGCCAGGTGAACTGCAGGACTGGCCCAGGACCTCTGCGCCGACTCTTACCCGGGTACTGAGCCGTCAGACCACAGTAGGTGGCCACGTTGACAATGAGGACGTGCTTGCCCGCAAACTGCTTGAGCTGAACGCGCTCCTTCCCATCCAGAGAGACGGCCTCGTAGTCGTAGATGGTCCCTCCCGCATCTCTGTAGCACTCCGCCTGGGAGATTCCCCACAGTACAATATTAGCAACGACTGCTGGCATCTGTGAATCTCCCAAGTACCCAGAGTAATGTGTGTAGGGCGTGTGTGCTGGAAAGTGAGAAAACCTGCCCTGGGGGGACAGCCATGCCACAGTCCCTTCTCCCTCCTCTCGGAATTTCAGGCATGCACGCATGTTCCTGGCTTGTTTCTCAAGCTGCCGAGCCCAGGACTCGAACTGCTCACTTGGGCCACGTGGGATCCAGCCGCCTTAACCATCATGCTAGTGGCTGGCCCTCTCATGGGCCTTTTGAGCAACCACTAGTCGTCTCTGTTATCCTGGCAAAGGCGAGACCCCAGTGAGTGCCTGGGAGGATGGACAGGCAGAGCTTGTGGCCGGCACTGGAGGAATGGAGAGCTGGCGGGTGGAGACAGAGCCGCTGCCTTGGGGTCCCACGCTCACGAGGCCAGTCCTCTGCTCTAGATTCAGGCCGGCCCCAGCCCCTCACAGAGGGTGGGCTTCGAGGTGCACTGCATCCAGGGGAATATTTACCTGGCTGTCCCCAGGTAGGACAGGACAGAGGTCTCCTGGCTTCTTACATGCTCACAGCACACAGACCTCGGGACTAGAAGCCGGCTCCATTCAATTCCTTTGTAAGCCCAGGCTGTTCTCTCCCAGAGTACAGAGCAGGGGTCCATCTCGACCCCTCTGAGAGCCCCGGAACCTGCCAAGGGCCGGCACTCTGCAGCCCATTACCCCGCCCAAAGCCTTCTCTCCTGGGCCCTTCACCTGGTGACCCACACAGGGGACATCTCGAGTGTCACTACACCCCCCGGCATCATCCCACCTGTGACACCCTGCCCTACCCCATCCTGCTCCATGTCCAGTACCCGTCTTCGGCAGCAGAGCCAGGCTCTTCTCCTTCCGGAATCTCCCGGACATCTGAGCAGACAGCCACATGGCAGGTAAGTCTTGCTCGGAATCCTCACCAATGGGCTCAGATCAAAGTCCTCCACTCGTCCTGTCTCTGTCCTCACAGAACCTGGGCAGTACCAGGGTGTGCCAGCACTGTGGTGCTCGTCAGCACCAGGCCCTTCCCTGCACCGCCTGAGAGCCCACACACCGGGCGTGGACACAGGGTGCTCCGTCTGAGAGCGTGTACACCGGGCGTGGACACGGGGAGCTCCGTCTGAGAGCGCACACACCGGGCATGGACAGGGGGCGCACCGTCTGAGAGCGTGTACACCGGGCGTGGACACGGGGCGCACCGCCTGAGAGCGCACACACCGGGCGTGGACACGGGGCGCACCGCCTGAGAGCGTGTACACCGGGCGGGGACACGGGGGGC